TTCAGGTCCTCGGGTAAACAGCGGTGCTCGGTTCTCTACTGAGTCTTGGGGTCCAGGAGTTTTACTGGGGGTCGGTCCCATAGACCTGATGGACCAGTTGCATGGCCGAGCTCGGTCTTCAGCCCTTCCGGAGACCACGCTGGTCAGGTTGCTCAAAGTCCCCACGGTAAACCCGTCCCAGCGTTCGTGTGGACTGTCTGGGGTGGCCCAAGCACCAGGTAAACTGAGGCACCCTTAGGAGGCGGGGCGTTGTTAGAGAGGAGAGTTGCTGGTTGGTGAACAGTTCATCCTTTCTGTACAACATGCAGGGTTTGGACAACACAGGTCTGCTGGGTTAGCGCTTTACTATGTAGGGCTATCCAAGATCTCTTCCAAAATTGGGAGGTTTTTTTTTTTTTTTCTGTTTCTTTCTCTTTCGTTTTTGAGACAGGATCTCTGCAGTGCTGTGGTGCCATCCTAGCTCACCACAGCCTGGAACTCCTGGGCCTCAAACGATCTTCCCGTCTCAGTCTCCCGAGTAGCTGGGACTACAGGTGTGCGCCACCGTGTCTGGCTAATTTTTATTATTTTATCTTTTATTTATGCTATTTTAAAAAATTTATTCTTTTTCTGGAGACAGGGTTTCACTCTGTCACCCAGGATAGAGTGCCGTGACATCATCATAGCTCACTGCAACCTCATACTCCTGGGCTCAAGCGATCCTCCCGCCTCAGCCTCCCAAGTAGCTGGGACTACAGGTGTGAACCATTTTGCCGGGCTAGTTTTTCTATAGTTAGTAGAGATGGGTTCTGGCTCTTGCTCAGGCTGGTCTCGAACTCCTGAGCTCAAGCCATCCTCCCACCTCGGCCTCCCAGAGTGCTGGGATTACAGGCGTGACCCACTGCACACACCTGGCCCCCAGCTAATTAAAAAAATTTTTTTTGTTGTTGGGCTGGGGTCTTGCTATGTTGCTCAAGCTGGTCTCCAACGCCTGGTCTCAGGCAATCCTCTTGCCTGTGCCTCCCCAAGTGCTGGGATTACAGGTGTGAGCCACCACTGCCCGTAGGCTGAAATCGGTAGTTTTTGATTTTGCAGAAAAATACCATAACAGCTGAGCGTTTGACACCACACACAACACGAGTCTCTCTTGGGTGTTTCTTTTCAATCCAGACCACAGGTCTTGGGTGCGGGTTCAGTGCAACTCATCCGGCGGGCGTGCTGCCGTAGTGCCCAGGGTGAGAGCCACAGCGTGGGGCTGGGTCAGGAGCTGTGCATCGGCGTGGGGACGTCAGGAAGGGAAATGAGTAGCACAGCCACGTTGCAGACGGGAAGGAGGGCAAGAAGTCACCTATGTCACTATCCTGTTCCTGTCTGTGTGCTGAGACTTCGTGTCATCCAGGGTTAGGTCTTTCCAGGAGGGTGCTCACAGACAGCAGGGCCCTGTCCCCATCTCACACTCTGAGTTCAGCCCAGTCTTGACAGAATTTGGCCAAGGTGAGGCCACTGAAGCTGCAAGAAGACTGAGTTTTCTCTTCTCTACGTGGTTTTCTTATCTACTGGATGTTGACACCAGTCAGCTGCAGACACTTCCCTGGAAGACACGGCGGCTGGCGGGCTGTCCCCACTTACCTGTGAGGTTAATCCAGCAACTGCCTTTCGAGGAGACTGCTGCAGTCCCACCTGGACCCTCAAGCACCCTCAGACCTGCGGCCCCACCACCTACCTGGCCTGCAGGCATGCCAGACCCTCTGCAGCAGCCGTGAGCACTTCTCGTCCGCCCAGTCGTGCAGGACCCTGGCCAGGATGTACAGGTCCGCCTCCGGGAGGGGGTCTTGGAAGAAATCTCCTGCGAGGCAGGGCAGGCAGACCCTGGGCTCAGCCCCAGCCAACCCCTACGGACTGAACCTGCTCCGGCAGGGAATGTCACCTGGGACAACCACACCCAGGTGTTCCCAGGTAGCGTCCGAAGACTA